TTTTTTGTCTTTTTGAGACAGGGTCTCGCTATGCAATTCAGGCTGGCCTTGAGCTCACTTTGTAGCCCAGGCTGGTCTCGAACTCTCAACGATCCTCCTTCCTCAGCCTTGTGAGTGCTGGGATGACAGGCTTGTGCCACCACGCCTGGCCTGAAAAAAAATTCTTTGAGGACCTAAAAGAAAGGAAATATTTAGATGAGAGCAAAGTGATAGTCCCACAAGTATTTATCTTTTTTGTATAGTCTTCCTTTTGGACAACTGGACCTTTATTTAGAGGCCCTTTGTATTTGGAGATAAGCAGCAGGATCTGCTGGAAACTCGGTGATAACTCTATTTTGTGGTAGTCATGACAGGCAAAGAACTGTATACTCTTCCTTTTTCAAGGCTGTCTTGAATTATAGACCATAAAGGGAGAATTCCTTCATTTAGTTGGAATGGATGACTTAGTACTAATGGATTAATTTGACATTAATCCAAACTGAAACCCTTTTAAGACTGTAATGATTTTCCCCAAGGCTTGCAGTGACGCGGGGAGCATCTTTGCTGTGCAGACTGTTTGGCAAGTGATTTTCATACTGTTAAGCCATGCCAGCACACAAGGCTGCTGTCTGGGTTTCTTCTTTTCTTTCTTCTTCTCCTCCCTTTTCTGTCTTCTCTCTGTTCCTTTCCCTCTTCTTCTTCTCTCTCCTCCTCCCTCCCCTCCTTCTTCTTCATTCCTCTCTTTCCCTCCTCCCTTCATACTTGGGACTGACCCAGGGGTTCTCTACTATTGGGCTACATCTCCAGCCCTCTTAATTTTAGATAGGATCCTGTTAAGTTGCCCTGAGTGGCCTTGAACTTGTGATCCTCCTGCCTCAGACTTTCAAGTAGCTGGGATTGCAGGCTTATGTCACTGGTGGCACATGGCTAGGTTTCTTCTGGATATTCACCTTCGGAGAACATCTGACTGGACCAGGGGATGGAAGGCGCTGCAGTGCACACACTGCTGTTTATGGCCTCTGTGCCCACTGTAGACACAGCTATTGGATTAAGATGCTCTCCCAGTCTGCCCAGGCTCAGGCATCCAGTTTCACAGTTCACACTGCCATCTGGGATAGGGTCTCTTCAGCCCTGAGTGAACTAAACACAACAGCAGGTATGGCAGCATAAAATAACCTATAAAAAGTTAGCTTGGAGCACACATGAAGCAGACAAGAGAGCTATACTTTATTCCCTTGCTAATGGCCCTGTGGAGCTTATGGGCTAACTATAGATGTAAATATAGTGTATCTTAATTTTAACAACAAATCTAGCAAAACGAAAGTCCTCATCTCTCATGAAGGCTGCTTTCCTGAGAAGCTTGATCACACAAATATGGGTCAACTCTTTCCATACTGACCCGGACTGCCATGTGAATATTAAGTCCTAGATGTATCTAGAGAATAATTTCAGAAAACATGGTTATACATTTATTTTTCCACACTTACATTAATCATTTGTTTTTACCACCCTCTTTTGCTCTTATGTGTTCATCATTTCATAATGTAAATTTATTTATTTATTTTGGTTTTTCTCTGGTACCAGGAACCGAACTCATGACGTTGCGCTTGCCAGGCAGGCGCTTTGCCGCTGAGCTAAATCCCCAGCCCCTCATAATGTAAATTTAAATCCCAATCATTCATTCTACAAATCATTTACTAAAGACTTCGCAGCATCATTTTATGGTAGGTTTCCTCCAGAAACACATAGTTTGATGGCAACTGATCACTGACAGAATGTGTTTATACACTTTATA